CTACCTTAATTTGTCCAGTGTTGACATTATCTTGTTAACTGTGCTCGTATGTATGTATGTACCACTTTGATGTGTTGACACTCTCCTACAAGCACTTTTATCTGTTGTTTATGGACGCCTACACACGCTTACCCTGTGTACCTCCCAGATACATACATACATACGTACATACCACCACCACCACCACCACCACCACCACCACTCAACATAAAGTCCTTAATGGTCATTAGCGTTGTAATTAGTTATTCTTAAGTGTGGGTAATTAGTGTTTGTTGGGGGCGTGGTGAGGACTGGGAGGAAGAGCGGGAAGAGGATTGAGAGGAGGAGGAGAGGAGGAGGACAGGAGAAGAGGGTCTGGAGGATGCGCCGGGAGGAGAGGGCGAGAAGAGGGGCAAGAAAAGGGGAGGGAAGAGAGGCAAGGGGATGGCCGGGAGGAGGGGCGGGAGGAGCAGGGCGAAAGCAAGGACAGGAGGAGGAGGACGGCCGGGAGGAGGGGCGAGAAGAGGGCCTGGAGGATTGACGGGAGGAGGGCCTGAAGGAAAGCCGAGAGGAGGGCCGGAAGGAAGGGTGGGAGGAGGGCGGAGAGGAGGGGCCCGGAGGAGGGGCTGGAGGAGAAGGGCGAGAGGAGGGCGAGAGGTGGGCTGGGAGGAAGGGTGGGAAGAGGGGCGAGAGGAGGGGAGCTCACGACCTATCGATACTGATATTGATATTGAAACAGTTTATTTAGTCAGACGAACTTAGGTACAGTCAAAAAAATAATAATATCAACATGGCTGAGTCAGTGAGCGCCTGAGCTCTCTTGTTGGCACCTGATATATACTGTACTGTACTGTACTGTACTGTACTGTACTGTACTGTACTGTACTGTACTGTACTGTACTGTACATTTATCTCAAGGAAATATGTAACATTTAATATTATCTGGAATAGTACAATAGCATGGTGGTAATAAGAACATATCAGAATGTTATCACAGTTATCACTTTGATATTTATTTATTTTTTTTTTTTTTTTTTATTTTTTTGCATTATATTACAAGTACACTGTATATACATACTTTACAGTGGAGTTGATATACAGTATATAAATATGATAAGGGAGGGAAGCAATACAACATGGGTTGTATTAAGGTGGAACAAGAGAACAGAGCTGTCAGTATCATGTCAAGCTGGCAATTATATTTATTGCAATGGTAATTTTTATCTATCTACATGATAATTTCTGATAAAACGGTTTGGGACTGAGCATGGGGGTGGTCTTGTGCCCTAAGTTGTCAAGCAAGTGATTGACAGATATGTAAACAAACAGGGTACAACAGTAGGTGTTAATATTCTCAACTTTTAACATTTTCAATTAAACAAATTGCTCGTTTGTGTGACCAGTTTTTTCAAGTAGGTCATTGTCCACATAACTTTCTTTTGTGCTGCCAAGTGAGTTTATTATGACGGTAAGAGAAACCAAATGCTTTAAAACACACACAAACGTAACCAGACAGACAGACATAAATATCGACCACGACAGACGAACACGAGACAGACAGACAAACGAACAGCACAGACATACATACATACACAGACAGACAGACAGGCAGACAGACAGACAGACATACATACATACAGACAGACAGACACAGACAGACAGCACAGACAGACAGGCAGACACAGATAAACAGGCAGACACAGACAGACAGACATAGACAGACAGACAGACACAGACAGATAGACAGACACAGACAGACAGACAATAGCAGACAGACACAGACACAGACAGGACACAGACACAGACAGGCAGACACAGACAGACATACAGACAGGCGACACAGACAGACAAGACACAGACAGACAGACAGGCAGGCAGACAGACAGACATACAGACACAGACAGACAGGCAGACACAGACAGGCAGACACAGACAGACATACAGACACAGACAGACAGACAGACACAGACAGACACAGACAGGCAGACACAGACAGACAGACAGGCAGGCAGACACAGACAGACAGACAGGCAGACACAGGACAAGGACAGACACAGACAGGCAGACACAGACAGACACAGAGCAGACACACACACACAGACAGACAGACAGACAGACAGACACAGACACAGACAGACAGACCCAGATAATGAACAATCTGGTTCTCGCGTGTATTCTCATCTACACAACCTGGAAATATCAAGTCGTGGTATGACAAAAAACGCACGTCCAACCTGATGTAGTAACGTATTGATTTATCTATTGTATCGTAGAGCATTGTAGTGTATTGATATCTTTAATGTTATTCATTTTATTGTTTTTGTATAATGAAGTGTGTGGGTGCAGTCCATCCGTTCATGTGTGTGTGTGTGTGTGTGTGTGTCACCAGCAGTTAACAGGGCGTTGAGTTAACTACTGCAGTAATGGGTAAATAACGCTTAACAAGAGCCGTAAACCACCTTGATAACTACCCTAATAACAGCTCAGAGTCCACAGTCGTTAGACTGACTGCTGACGTGTAACTACAGTGAGACTTGTGTGGGTGGCGAGTCATTTGGCTGGCTCGCGTGGTTCTGGGTTTGGCACGTGCTGATTGGTCCATTACCCACTGGGAATACGGGTTTGATGTGTCTTGATTGGTCTTTTGTCCTCCATGACGTATATGCAGATGTAATGTGCGGTGATTGGTCCATGACTGCTGTGACGTATATGAGTTTAATGCGTTGGTATTGGTTAATGTCTTCCATGAGGTATAGATGTCATGATTGGTCTTCGTCACTGTGACGTATGTGGTTCGAGTCACGTTCAGATTGGTCCTTGGCCACCATGAGATCTATATGACGTCATACCCTCAGCTCTTTGGAATTAAATAGTTCTCTTGTAGAAATAAACAAACGGCGAAGGCGTGGTGGGTGAGGGCGTGGGGGTGGAGGAAGCAGTATAGGAGGCGTGGGTAAAGACGTAGGTGATGCAGGGGGCGTGGGTGAAGGTGTGGTAGTGGGGGAGATCCACAGGAGGCGTGGGTGAGGGCGTGGTAGGGAGGGCGGAGGCATGGTGTGTGAGGGCGTGAGGTGCCAAGACCCTTAGACAGGATATGCCTCCTGCCCCCACACAGCCCATAAGGAACCTCCCTGCCCCCCTCCTCCACACCCTCCCTCCTCCCTCCTCCCCCCCTCCCCCCTCCCTCCACTCCCCCTCCCTCCTACCCCCTCTATATTCCCCAAATGTCTTATGCCCAATTTTTCTCGTAAATGAAGATAGTAGTAGAACCTCCATTTAACGAACTGTGTGGAGAGGAATGTCCGCTAAATAGAGGGTCTGAATATGAAACCTCCAGATACCGGATTATATGGGGAGGGGAGTCCGTTATATGGAGGTATCACTGTAATAAAAAGTTGATAATTTACGGTAGACTCACAGCAATCTTAGCCTCAACTCCGGGCGTTATCGTGAGTCTAAGGAAATGAGACCTTACCCATAATTTGGAAATCTATGGTAAGAATCGTTTAATATCTTAGTATCGTAAGTTTAAGTCAATCAACCGCGTTTTTTACGTTACTTAAGAGGAAAAATTAACGTAAATAAATCTCAGTTGAGGTTTAAATGAGTCTTTTATTACAATCAAAGAAGAAAACTTTTACCGTAGGAGCCTTTTGGGATGTGAGCCTTGATGTAGTATCTGGTGACCGCGGGCTGTGCAAGTTGTTTAAAGTGGCTCAAGTGTTGATCATCACTCGCACTTAAGTGGTGTTGATAAGGCGAGGAGCTGAGGGGAGACGGCCGCCCACTGGTGCTGGTGGCGGACGGGAGGGGAGACAGCCGCCCACTGGTGTGTACTGGTGGGCGTGAGGGGAGGAGGACAGCCGCCCACTGGTGTACTGGTGGGCGTGAGGAGGGGAGCGGCTGCCCACTGGTGTGTACTGGTGGGGTTAGGGAGGAGAGGACAGCCGCCCACTGGTGTGTACTGGTGGGCGTGGAGGGAGAGAGACAGGCCCACTGGTGTGTACTGTGGGGGAGGGAGGGGAGACAGCCGCCCAGGTACTGATGGGCGTTAGGGGGGAGCGCCGCCCACTGGTGTCTGCTGGGGGTGGAGGGAGAGCGCCCACTAGTGTCAGGTGGTGGGCGTGAGGGAGAGGGCGCCGTCCACTGGTGCGTGGTGGGCGTGAGGGAGAGGCGGCCGCCCACTGGTGTGTACTGGTGGGCGTGAGGGAGGGAGCGGCCGCCCACTGGTGACTGCTGGTGTGAGGGAGTAGCCGCCCACTAGTGTCAGGTGGTGGGCGTGAGGGAGAGGGCGGCCGTCCACTGGTGTCTGGTGGTGGGCGTGAGGGAGAGGGCGGCCGCCCACTGGTGTCTGGTGGTGGGCGACACACAGTCTGGATGGTCGAGTCTTGTCCTCCTGTCGATTTTAGGAATGCTGACTTAGAGGAATAAAGAGTGAGTGAGAGAGAGGGATGGAGTGGTGAGAGAGAGGGATGGAGAGGGAGAGAGAGGGAGAGTGGTGAGAGAGAGGGATGGAGAGAGAGTTTGCCTTCCCCCACTGTAATTAAAGCAAATCTAATAACAGTATCCAAAGTATTCTACACCCAAAAAGTTATAAAACTCACCATTAATATTTCAAAATTTGATTAGATAACATATAACCACTACCAGGTCAGGTCAGGTCAGGTTGTAAGTAGGTTAGGATAGAGCAGGGTTAGGTTAGGAGGAGGAGAAGAAGGAGGAGTAGGTTAGTAGGGTCAGACACAAGCACATACACGCAAACACATACACAGACATAGATGCTCACACACGCAAACACACAAACACACAGACAAACAGACAAACAGACACAGGTAAAAAGAGCAATAATGAGGCGTGGGTACAGGTGTGTGGCGGCAGGTGTTGACCATCACGGTTTTGTATCTCCGGTAACATGTTATGAATGTTTTTGTTGACTCTCTCTCTCTCTCTCTCTCTCTCTCTCTCTCTTCTCTCACACCACCAAGTACTAACCCTCTCCCCACCTTCTCTCTCCCACACAGGTATATGTTCTTAGCCATCTACTCGGCGGAGATGATGATCAAGACGGTAGCCAAAGGGTTTATCCTCAACAAGTACACCTACCTAAGGAACCCCTGGAACTGGCTGGACTTCGTGGTCATCGCTTCAGGCTACGTCACCCTCGTCATCGAACTGGGAGATGGATGTACAGCTGGGGAACTTGGGGGTCTGAGGACGTTTCGTGTGTTGAGGGCGCTGAAGACGGCTCCCCATCATGCCTGGAGTACCCCTGTAGGAGGAGGGTGGGTGAGGAGGAGGGTGAGGGAGGGTAGGGGTAGGAGTGTGGGGAGGGGAGGAGAAGGGAGGAAAGATAGTAGGGTGGAGTTTTAATGTTCTATTGTATGTGGATATAAGGCGGTCTCCATCATGCCCGGTAAGTACCTCTAGGGGAGAAGGGTAGAAGGGAGGGAGGGAGGGAGGGAGAAGGGAGGAGGAGAGAGGAGGAGGGAGGGAGATTGTTTAATGTTTTATGACGTAAGTGAGAAGAATAAGAAGATATTGAGGGTTTTTTATCGTCTGGTGTGTACCTCTGAGAGAAGGAGGAGGAGGGAGAAGGGCCGCCTCAGCCCAGGGTCGTCCCTAGGGTCGTCCTCAGCCTGGGTCGTCCTCAGCTCAGGGTCGTCCTCAGCCCAGTCGTCCCTCAGCTCAGGGCCGTCTCAGCTCAGGGTCATCCTCAGCTCAGGGTCATCCTCTCAGCCCAGGTCATCCTCAGCCCAGGGTCATCCCCAGCCCAGGGTCATCCTCAGCTCAGGGTCATCCTCAGCTCAGGGTCGTCCTCAGCTCAGAGTCATCCTCAGCTCCAGCCATCCTCAGCTCAGGGTCGTTCTCAGCTCAGGGTGTCCTCAGCCCAGGGTCGTCCTCAGCCCAGAGTCATCCTCAGCCCAGAGTCATCCCCAGCTCAGGGCCGTTCTCAGCTCAGGGTCGTCCTCAGCTCAGGGTCCCTCAGCTAGAGTCATCCTCAGCTCAGGGTCCATCCTGAGGTCGGGAGGTCGAGAACTTACACACACCACACACACACACACACACACACACACACACACCACACACACAACCAAGTGAGGAAGATACATAGAGAAGGATGCTGATCATTACTCCCCTTTGTCTTGTTCAAGGAGAGGTGAGAGAGGTGAGGAAGATTGGTGGAGAGTTAGGAGGAGGAGAGGAGGGGGGAGAGGTGAGGAAGATTGGTGGAGAGTTAGAGGTGAGGGAGAGGAGGGAGAGGGGGAGGAAGATTGGTGGAGAGTTAGAGGTGAGGGAGAGGGGACAGAGAGAGGTGAGGAAGATTGGTGGAGAGTTAGAGGTAGAGGGAGAGGAGGCGGGAGAGGTGAGGAGATGGTGGAGAGTTAGAGGTGAGGAAGATTGGTGGAGAGTTAGAGGTGAGGGAGAGAAGGTGGGAGGTGGGGAGGAAGATTGGTGGAGAGTTAGAGGTGAGGGGAGGAGGGGGAGAGGTGGGAGGAAGATTGGTGGAGAAAGAGGTGAGGGAGAGGAGGTGGGGAGAGGTGGAGGAAGATTGGTGGAGAGTTAGAGGTGAGGGAGAGGAGGGGAGAGGGGGGAGAGGTGGGGAGGAAGATTGGTGGGAGAGTTAGAGGAGGGAGAGGAGGTGGAGAGGGGGAGGGGAGAGGAGGCGGAGAGGGGGGAAGAGGTGAGGAAGATTGGTGGAGAGTTAGGGAGGTGAGGGGAGGGAGGGGGGAGAGGTGAGGAAGATTGGTGGAGAGTTAGAGGTGAGGGAGAGAAGGCGGGAGAGGTGAGGGGAAGATTGGTGGAGAGTTAGGAGGCGAGGGAGAGGAGGCGGGAGAGGTGGAGGAAGATTGGTGGAGAGTTAGGAGGTGAGGAGAGGGGAGGGGAGAGGTGAGGAAGATTGGTGGAGCGTTAGGGAGGTGAGGGGAGAGGTGGGAGAGGTGGGAAGATTGGGAGAGTTAGAGGTGAGGGGAGAGGAGGGGGAGAGGTGGGAGGAAGATTGGTGGAGAGTTAGAGGTGAGGAGAGGAGGGGGAGAGGTGAGGAAGATTGGTGGAGAGTTAGAGGTGAGGGAGAGGAGGGGGGAGAGGTGGAGGAAGATTGGTGGAGAGTTGAGGTAGAGGGAGAGGTGGGTGGGAGAGGTGGAGGAAGATTGGTGGAGAGTTAGGAGGTGAGGAAGATTGGTGAGAGTTAGGAGGTGAGGGGAGAAGGGGGAGAGGTGAGGAAGATTGGTGGAGAGTTAGGAGGTGAGGGAGAGTGGAGAGGGGGAGAGAGGAGGAAGATGGAGGAGGTTAGGGAGGTGAGGGAGAGGAGGTGGGAGAGGGAGGGAAGATTGGGGAGATTTAGAGGTGAGGGAGAGGAGCTGGGAGAGGTGGAGAAAGATTGTGGGAGAGTGTGAGGAGGAGGCAGGAGAGGTGAGGAAGATTGGTGAGAGTTAGAGGTGAGGAGAGAAGGCGGGAGAGGTGGAGGAAAAGGTGGAGTTAGAGGTGAGGAGAGGAGGTGAGAGGTGGAGGAAGATTGTGGAGAGTTAGAGGTGAGGAGAGGAGAGGGAGGAGGTGGGAGGAAGAGGTGGAGTGTTAGGAGGTGAGGGGAGAGGAGGGGAGAGGTGAGGAAGATTGGTGAGTTAGAGGTGAGGGAGAGGAGCAGGAGAGGTGAGGAAGATTGGTGGGAGCGTTAGGAGGTGAGGGAGAGGAGGCGGGAGAGGGGGAGGGAAGATGGTGGAGAGTTAGGAGGTGAGGGAGAGGAGGGGGAGAGGGAGAAGATTGGTGAGAGTTAGGGAGGTGGGGGAGAGAAGGGGAGAGGTGAGGAAGACAGGAGAGTTAGAGGGAGGGAGAGGAGGTGAGAGAGGGGAGGAAGATTGGTGGAGTTAGAGGTGAGGGAGAGGAGGCAGGAGGTGAGGAAGATTGGTGGAGAGTTAGAGGTAGGGAGAGGGGGAGAGGTAGATAAGGAAAAAGAGGGGAGAAATGAGGCGAGTGAAAAGGAGGATAAGAAAGATGAGTGAGAGGGAAGAGGAGTGAGAGGGAGGAAGATAAGGAGAGTGAGAGGGATGGAGATAGGGGGAAATATTGAGAGGAAGAAGGGTGATGAGTTAAAGAGATTGAGAGGAGGTGAAGGAAGGAGAGAGAGAGAGAGAAAGGAATATGAACTAGCAAGATGGAAGGAAAGAGAGGGAGAGAGAGAGAAGAATTGAGAAGTAGGAGTGAGGAGGGAGGAGTGAGAATAAGTGAGAGGGAAGAAGAACGAGAGGAATTGAGGGGAGGGAGGGGAGGAAGGTTCCAACATGTCTGGCTCAGGTCAGGAGGGGAGGAAAGGGAGGGGAGAGGGAGGGGGAGGAGGAGGGGAGAGGAGGGGGGTGAGGAGGGGGGAGGGAGTCTGGCACATTGCCTGTCCAGTTCCTGACGGAAGAGTCGACGGGAGGAGAGATAACGGGGGGAGGAAAACGATAATAAAAAGTGTGTCTAGGAAGAGGAGGGAGGAAGGAGGAGGAGGGAAGAGTGTGTAAGGGAGGAAGGAGGAGGAGGAGGGAGAGGAAGAGTGCGTATGAGGGAGGAGGAGGAGGAGGAGGAGGAGGGGAAGAGTGTAAGAGGAAGGAGGAGGAGGAGGAAGAGTGTGTAGAGGAAGGAGGAGGAGGAGGAGGAGGGGAAGAGTGTGTATGAGGAAGGAGGAGGAGGAGGAGGAGGAAGAGGTGAGGAGGAGGAGGAGGAGGAGGAGGAGGAGGAGGAGTGTGTATGAGGGAGAGGAGGAGGAGGAGAAGGAGGGGAAGAGTGTATGAGGAAGGAGGGAGGAGGAGGAGGAGGAAGAGTGTGTGTATGAGGGAGAGGAGGAGGAGGAGGAGGGGGAAGAGTGTGTATGAGGAAGGAGGAGGAGGAGGAGAGGGAGGAAGAGTGTGTATGAGGGAGGAGGAGGAGGAGGGGAAGAGTGTGTAGAGGAAGGAGGAGGAGGAGGAGGAGGAAGAGTGTATGAGGGAGGAGGAGGAGGAGGAGAGGAGGAGGGGAAGAGTGTGTAGGAGAAGGAGGAGGAGGAGGAAGAGTGTGTATGAGGGAGGAGGAGGAGGAGGAGGGGAAGAGTGTGTAGGAGGAAGGAGGAGGAGGGGAGAAGAGTGTGTGTAAGGAGGGAGGAGGGGAGGAGGGAAGAGTGTGTATGAGGAAGGAGGAGGAGGAGAAGAGTGTGTAAGGAGGGAGGAGGAGGAGGAGGAGGAGGAGGAAGAGTGTGTAGAGGGAGGAGGAGGAAGAGTGTGTATGAGGGAGGAGGAGGAGGAGGAAGAGTGTGTAAGGAGGAAGGAGGAGGGAGGAGGAGGAGAGGAAGAGGTGTAAGGAGGGAGGAGGAGGAGGAGTGTATGAGGAAGGAGGAGGAAGAGTGTGTTGAGGAAGGAGGAGGAGGAGGAAGAGTGTATGAGGGGAGGAGGAGGAGGAGGAGGAGGGAAGAGTGTGTAGGAGGAAGGAGGAGAGGGAGGAAGAGGTGTAAGAGGAAGGAGGAGGAGGAGGAGGAGGAAGAGTGTGTAAGAGGGAGGAGGAGGGAGGAGGAGGAGGAAGAGTGTATGAGGGAGGAGGAGGAGGAGGAGGAGGAGGAGGAGGAAGAGTGTGTAAGAGGAAGGAGGAGGAGGAGGAAGAGTGTGTATGAGGAAGGAGGAGGAGGAGGAGGAAGAAGAGTGTGAGAGGGAGGAGGAGGAGGAGAGGAAGAGTGTGTATGAGGGGAGGAGGAGGAGGAGGAGGAAGAGTGTGTGGGGGGGAGGAGGAGGAAGAGGAAGAGTGTGTGATGAGGAGGAGGAGAGGAGGAAGAGTGTCTGAGGGAGGAGGAGGAGGAGGGAGGAGGAAGAGTGTGTAAGAGGAAGGAGGAGGAGGAGGAGGAGGAGTGTGTATGAGGAAGGAGGAGGAGGAGGAGGAGGAGGAGTGTGTAAGGAGGAAGGAGGAGGAAGAGTGTGTTTGAGGAAGGAGGAGGAGGAGGAGAGAATAGTGAAGAGAAAGAGAATGAAAGAAGGAAGAATGAAAATGTGTGTGTGTGTGTGTGTGTGTGTGTGTGTGTGTGTGTGTGTGTGTGTGTGTGTGTGTGTGTGTGTGTGTGTGGTCACCTATGGAAGAAATTTCTTTTAAAGTTTTGTGTTTGAGACTTTCTTCATTTATACCCATTCCTCGTTTTCTATGTGTTCCCTTTCTCTATTTCTATCCCTTCGTTGTTGTCAGTCTCTTGTAATCACCCTTTTATCGCCTCTATTACTCTCTCTTTATCTTTCAACTTTCACCATTTACCCTTCGCAGTTTCTCTTAAAATCGGGGACCACCTGGGGGGCAACACCGACCCCTTCTCTCTCAGTTGCCAATGTGTAAACAAAGGGAATTTTCAGCGTCCAATGGGGGGCGTTATAACTTGTCGTTTGGGTTTATTCTGTAAGGGAGGGAAAATGTGAGGAGGAATTCCTGCCCTCTTCACACACACACACACACACGCACACACACACACACACACAGGCAGGCCCGCTGGATGCCATAAGTGAAAACATCCGATAATTTGTGTTTTTTTAATTATTCACACATTATATTGAAAGTGTACAGAGGCAATGTAATTTTTCATCTGTAGTCATCATTCACTGGCAGCAATGAATGATGTGCAGTAATTATGAATAAACTGCAGGCTGTCAGGTAGAAACTGTTCTGTGTCTGTCTGTCTGTCTGTCTGTCTGTCTGTCTGTCTGTCTTGTCCTGACCACATCTCAATATATATTACCAATTGACCTCTGAAACTCGTATGACTCTTGTATCTCATCAAGGGTCAGAAGCTTATTGAAGATGAATGACCTGGAATGACCTTGACCCATTTTACAAGGTCAGAACAGGTTATTAGTTTTAAGGTAGGGGTAATGATCTCAGCTTCCCTTATATCGATATGTTTACTTTTTATCGTAATTATCATCCACTGGTAGTAAGGCATAACGTACAATAATTCTTAACTAATATTTCCCCGGGCAGTAATGAACGCTGTACCAAAATTTATCCCTGTAATTGTATTTTTACTTCTGGCAGTGCGAT